ATTATTGAATTACATGATTCAGTTATGTTTTATTTAGCTGTAACATTAGGTTTAGTATCATGATTATTATTTGTAATTGTAGTTAATTTTACTAATAATAAATTACCTTATAAATATGCTACTCATGGTCAAACTATTGAAATTGTTTGAACAACATTACCAGCTATTATTTTATTAGTTATTGCTTTACCTTCATTTGTATTATTATATTTATGTGATGAAGTTGTATCACCAGCTATAACTATTAAAGCTATTGGTTTACAATGATATTGAAAATATGAATATTCTGATTTTATTAATACCGCAGGTGAAACTATTGAATATGAATCATATATTGTACCTGAAGATTTATTAGAAGATGGTCAATTACGTATGCTTGATACTGATACATCTATTGTATTACCTGTTGATACACATGTTAGATTTATTGTAACATCAGCTGATGTATTACATGATTTTAGTGTACCTTCATTAAGTATGAAAATTGATGCTTGTCCTGGACGTTTAAATCAAACATCTACATTAGTTGAACGTGAAGGTGTATATTATGGACAATGTTCAGAATTATGTGGAGTAGCTCATTCAGCTATGCCTATTAAAGTTGAGGTAGTTTCATTACGTGACTTCCTTGTATGACTTAACGAGCAATAAATTAAATATATATTAGAATATTTATTTATTCATATTACCCGGCCTTTATATAAAGGCCGGGTAGAATATACAATAGTATATATTTACCATTATTAATTTATAATAATAAAATATATAATATTAACATTTATAATAATATTATTATATATAATCGTATTATTATATTAATTTATATTAACTTATTATTATATTATCGTATACCGGTTCATATATATGAACCGGTAAGGTCATATTAATTATTAATTATATATTAGTATATATTATATTATATTTATAAGTAAGTATTAAATAATATTAAAATAGAGGGGCTTTAATTCAACGGTAGAATATCCGTTTTGCATACGGAAGATTCGGGTTCAAGTCCCGATCGCTCCATAATTTCATCTTACCTCACATAATAATTTTGTGGGATTATTATAAATAATTTGGTGGTCATTTATTATTTAATATTTATGTTTAGATAGCTCAATGGTAGAGCGATGTACTGTTAATACATTGGTTGATGGTTCGATTCCATCTCTAGGCGATATATTATATGTTTATCATATATTATAATACTATTATTAATTATTACTCTTAAATTATATATATTTATAATTTATAAGACATATATATAAATTATACCATTGGTTAAATTTATAAAAAATATTATATATATAATGCAATTTGATTGATTAGAATCAGCCCTACTAGAATGATTAGTAGATGATGATGATATAGCTTGATATGCTGCTTCAGTTACTGGGGTAAGTCCTATATCAGGTTTATTATCATTAGTTAGTGTTTATGTAATAATTGCTGTAGATTTATATGGTTCAGGTATAGAACTTATAGGATTATTATATTTATTAGTTTATGTTGGTGGTGTAGCTATCTTATTTGCCTTCGTATTAAGATTATTAGATTTATCTGATGATGATGATGAAGATGGTGATGATGCATCATTTTTATTAGGTGCTATGTTAGATTGATTACCTATATCAGATATAGCTTTAGAAGATATTGAAGTTTACAATAGTAGTACTTTAATTATTGATTATGAAGGTTCTGTATTAGGTAAATTAGAATTTAGTCAATGTGGTATTTTATTAGTATGAGTAGCTTTAGGTTTATTATTAACTATTGTTGGTACTATTTCAGTTATCAAACATAAAGGGTTAAACCTTGATACGCGTTTATAAAATCGTATATAAAATTATTAAAATAAATGTTTAATCTTTTAGAAAATATTTTATTTATCTTATTTATCTTATTAACTGTAGCTTATTTAACTGTAGCTGAACGTAAGACAATAGGATATATGCAACGTCGTTTAGGACCTAATGCTGTTGGTTATTATGGTTTATTAATGGCTATTGCTGATGCTGTTAAACTTCTTATTAAAGAATCAGTAACACCATCACGTGCTAGTGGTGAATTTGAAATTGGACCTGAAATTACATTAACAAGTGCTTTATTAGTATGAGCTGTTATTCCTTTTGGACCAGTTACTGTTGGTGAAATAGAAAGTGCTTTATTATTTGCTTTAGGTGTTTCTAGTGTTGGTGTATTTGGTACATTATATGCTGGTTGATCTAGTGATTCTAAATTCTCTTTATTAGGTTCTATTAGAGCTACAGCTCAATTAATTAGTTATGAATTAGTATTAACAACTTTAGTTTTAATTGTTGTATTACTTACAGGTTCATTAGATTTAACTGTAGTAGTTGAAGCTCAACGTACTGCTTGAAATGTTGTATTAATGTTACCATTATTTATAGTATTCTTTATTGCATCAGTAGCTGAAACTAATCGTCCACCATTTGATTTAACAGAATGTGAGTCAGAATTAGTTAGTGGTCATATAACAGAATTAAGTGCTTCATCATTTGTATTCTTCTTCTTAGCTGAATATATGTCTATTGTATACATGTGTGTATTATGTAGTTTATTATATTTAGGTGGTTATTTATTCCCTATTAGTATGCCTGATTTATTCCCTATTGAAATAATGTTTGATTCATTATCTTTAGGTTTTAAATCATGTTTATTAATGTATAGTTTTGTATGAGTACGTGCTTCATTCCCTCGTGTACGTTTTGATCAATTACTTGATCTATGTTGATTAACTTTATTACCATTATTATTTGGTGTATTAGGTTTATTACCAAGTATTCAACAAAGTACTCAAACAATGGGTGAATATACTTTATAATATGTGTTAATAAAAAAATAAATAATATATAAATATGAAGAATTATTTACTTACAACAAGTCCTTATGGTAAAGATAACTTTACTGAAATTCAAACTCAACAATTACTTACAAATTTAGCTAATACAATTACACCTACTAATATTGCTAATATTAATGATACACGTTATTATAGTAATAATACTAAATATAGTATTAATGCTTTCTTTCCTTCAGATAGTATTATTCAAGAACCTATTTCATCATATTATAATTTAGATTTAGGATTATATATAAATGAAGGTAAATCTATAACACTTAATGATTTAAGTATTCAACAAAATGCTTATGATGTATCAAATAATATGGTTAAAACATTAGCTAAATTAAATTCTATACCTAATATAACATTAACTGTTAATAGTAATAATATTAAAAATGATACAGCTATTTTACAATTAACTGATACATTATATCAAAATCAACGTGTATCAGCTACAACTAATATTTTATCATATAATTTAGCTTTAAATAATAGAACTAATATTGATAATATTAAACATACTACTGTATTACAACAAATTAAAGATTCTGATACAGGATGTTTAAATGTTAAAATCGTATTAAAATAAAATTACAACATTCTTTATTATATAATTATTAATAGATTTATATAATATCTCAACCCGGCTCATAATTATGAGCCGGGTAATATATAATTTATTATATATATTCTATATTATATATTATATATCATATATTCTATCATATATATATATTTATATTTATATTATTATTCAATATATAATTATAAGGTTAAATATAAATTAATAATATATATCTAATAATATATTATACTTTCATAATATTATATATTAATAATATAATTATATTAATATTTGTACATAATATATTATTACCGGCTCATTATATGAGCCGGTATACGATAATTAATCTATAGTTTAATATATAATAATATTATTAATTATATATTAATAGTAATTAATCATAAGTATAATCCCGGTTCATTTATGAACCGGGATGGTTGTTGGTATATAGAATTATATATAAATATAGTATTAATTAATTATATTAAATAATATTTATATGTAATTATATATTAATATTTATAAGCGCATAAACATTTTGGCTCATATAATAAGCCGTATAATATAAAGGATTATATATTTATATATATATACTATTTTAATATATAAATAATAATATTATATTTGTGGATAATACTTTACCGGCTCATTACATGAGCCGGTATATCTATATATATTTATATTTATATAAACCTAAATATACTAATAATAATATATTTACTTTATATAAATAAGATAATCATTATATAATTTATATTAATTTATCATTAATAATTTACCCGGATCATATAATGATCCGGGAAGAATATGTATAATATATATATATATTATTAAAGTTAATTATATTAGTATATATAATCTTATATTATAATAATATATGGTAATTAATATTATAATTTATATTAATAATTTACCCGGCTCATGTAATGAGCCGGTATATAAATATATATACTTATATTTAAGTATATATAAAACTTATATATAAATATTAATTAATTAATTATAATATATAATATAAATTGATTATATGTTAAAACACATAATTACACCGGCTCATCATACGATGAGCCGGTAAGAATATTATTATTTATATAATATTTATATTACTCTTAAAAGTAATTATATTTATATATTATAATTAAAAAAATAGTATTATAATATTATATGTATTATTATATGTATAGAAATATATTTATAAATAAAGATATATTCCGGCTCATCATATGATGAGCCGGTAAGAATATATTATACCAATATTATATTATTATTGGTTTATAATATTAATAATAATTATAGTATAGAATTATATTTAAATTGATATTAAATAATAATTATTATAAATATATATAATAACTATTTATAATTATATAGTAATAATATAAGATTAATTATATATATATAAATATAATTATATTTGTGGATAATACTTTACCGGCTCATATAATGAGCCGGTATATGACAATTAATCTATAGTCTAATATATAATTATATTATTAATTATATATAAATGGAAATTAATTAATCATAAACATAATCCCGGTTCATAAATGAACCGGGATGGTCGTTGGCATATATAATTATATATATTTATATATAAACCTATAATTATTATGATTAATTATATTTATGGATAAAGTTAATATAAAATGATTATATATTAATGTATATATATTATTTTAATATATAAATAATAATATAATATTTGTGCATAATATTTTACCGGCTCATGTAATGAGCCGGTATATCTTTATTTATATATATATAAATCTATTTATACTAATAATAATATATTAATCTATTTATACTAATAATTATATATTAATCTAAATGTACTAATAATTATATATTAACTTAAATAAATTATTTTATATAAATAGAATAATCATTATATAATTAATAATTTATATTAATTTATCAATAATCATTTACCCGGATCATATAATGATCCGGGAAGAATATATATTATATAAATATATTATTATATAAAATAAGATTAATATATAATTATATACTTTATTAATATTAATTATATTAGTATATATAATCTTATGTAATAATAATATTATAATTATAATTTATATTAATCTTATTACCCGGCTCATGTAATGAGCCGGTATACTAATGAGTATAAAGATATACACTTATATTTATTATATATAAAACTTATATATAAATCTGAATCAATTTATTATAGTATATAGTATAAATTGATTATATATTATTAAAATACATAATTACACCGGCTCATCATGATGAGCCGGTAAGAATAAATTATTGATATAATATTTATATTACTCTTAAAAATATTTATATTAATACATATTATTATATTAAAATAGGATTAATATATTATTATATGTATTATTATATGTATTATTATATGAATAGAAATATATTTATTAATAAAGATATACTCCGGCTCATCATGATGAGCCGGATTGATTATATATGATATTTATATTATTTTATAATTATTATTGATTTATAATAATTATTGACTATTATATAGTAAATATATAATATTAATTATATATATATTTCTATAATAATATTTGTATAATATCAAACTTCCCCGGATCATTATATGATCCGGGATTATTATAAATATATAAATATTTAGATTATATTATTAGTATATTATAATAGATTATACATATAGATTAATAAGTATATACCGGCTCATTATATGAGCCGGTTATATTTAATTATAAATTATATAATAGAGTTTTATATAAGTAGATAAAAGTCATATTGTTAATTAACCTTTATAGATATTAAATATAACATATAATTTAAGTTCAACACTATAATAGTATTATGCTTAATCTACTATATATATAAACAGATCGTAGCCTAATGGCCAGGCACTTACATTGGGAGTAAGATTATGGTAGTTCGAGTCTACCCGATCTGATTGCCCACTTACTCTTAATGGTAAAGGATAGCCCTTCTAAAGCTTATAATCCAGGTTCGAGTCCTGGAGTGGGTTAAATTTTATTATTATTAATGAGCTGTCGACTAATGGTAAGTCACTTAGGTTTGAGCTAAGCTATTGGTAGTTCGAATCTACCCGGTTCAATTTATTATTATTATTATTTTATAATATTAATTTTATCATTCCTTATATAATAATTATTTTATGGAATTATTTTATAAAGGGGATATAGTTCAAAGGTTAGTAACATCCGCCTTTTAAGCGGTCGATAAGGGTTCAAGTCCCTTTGTCCCTAATAAACTATAAGTAATAGCAATCGTAAGTTAATGGTAAACTCGTCGGTTTCCACCCGGTCTATGCGCGTTCAATTCGCGTCGATTGTATTGATATATTATAATATTTATTCCTCTACCCAATCTTTATATAAAGACTAGATATAATATATTATATATATTTATATTAGATAATTAATAATAATATTGTATAATTATAATATACTTAAATATTAATAAATTAATCTATACTAACTCATTATATAAATTGATAAATATATATCATTGTATATAATTTTAATATTTATTATATCATTAATATATTATAAGATTATTATACAAATACATAAATAGTACCATATTGTATATTATAGAGTAAATATATATTATAATACCGGCTCATATTTATGAGCCGGTATGCGCATATTTATAACCTTACCCATTCATATAATAAATGGATATTACTATTATATTATAATTATAATATAAATCTAAAAATATAAATATATTATTTATATAATAATGAGATTATAGATTATAATACACAATATTATAATATACTTACCCGGCTCATGTAATGAGCCGGGTATAAGTCAATCAATATATGTTTATATTAATTCATATATATAATTAAGAGTAATTATATTAATCTATAATATATATTAATATCTTATGAATATATTATAATATTAATTATATAACAATATCTTACCCGGTTCATTACATGAACCGGGATAAATAATAATACTTACATATAATATATAAATATTATAGAGTCATGATTATATATTATTAATATATAAATAAAATTTATATTAGTCTATAAATAATCCTACTGGCTCAATTTATGAGCCAGTTATACGTTATTAATTATTATAGAGTCATGATTATATATATTAATAATATGTATTAAATCTAATATAAATATATTATTATACAAGACCAACCCGGCTTATATAATAAGCCGGGTATACATTAATATATATTAATTTATATAATATATTATAATGCATTATAATTATTAATTATATAAAACATATAATTAAATCTATTTTGACCCACCGGCTCATATATATGAGCCGGTATTACGCTTATCATATTAATATTAATATATATAATAATATTTTTATAATTATTTTTACTCATTACTATAATAACTGGTATTATTATTAGTAATATAATTACTATAATTATTACTATTCTTATAAGTTTATAATATTAATTTAGTATACTACAATGAAATAATTAATTATAATAATATAACTATTATCTATTAATTATACCGGCTCATTACATGAGCCGGTTGGATTTATGTTTTATATTAATTTATATATATTACCCGGTTCATTACATGAACCGGGTTACGATTGTATAATAATACTTTATTATTATAAATTTATTAATATAATTATAATATTATGCTTAATATAATGTATATATATTAAAGGATTAATAAGGGGTTAAAAATATTAAAATATTAACATTTATATATTAATATAAGTATAACTATAATACCCAGTACTTAAACTCGTAACCATTATTAATGTAATGGTTAACAATCTATAAATTAGTAAACATAATATAAGTGTTACTAAATATGAATTATTGTCATAATATAATTATTTAATAATATGTGAATTCAACGTTGACTTTACTCAACCAATGCTAAAGATATTGCAATACTATATTTTGTATTTGCTATGTTTGCAGCTATGGTAGGATCATCTATGTCATGAATCATTCGTATGGAATTATCAGCACCAGGTGCACAATATTTACATGGTCATAATCAAGTATTTAATGTACTTGTAACAGGTCATGCTATTGCTATGATTTTCTTATTCGTTATGCCATTTATGATTGGTGGATTTGGTAATTACTATTTACCATTAATGGTTGGTGCAGCCGATATGGCTTTTGCACGTTTAAATAACGTATCATTCTGATTATTACCTCCTGCTTTAGTATTACTTGTTACATCAACATTAGTAGAAAGTGGAGCTGGTACAGGATGAACGGTATGTAAGGTATGCCGTTCTAAAATGTCATTCGATGCGTGAAACACCTCATTTAATAAATATTATTATGTATTAATTGGTTACTCATTTATGTTGTATTTATACTATAAAATATACAGATTAGTTAACAAATCATATATTATTATTAAGATATATTATCTTAAAACATTAATAGTTATAAGATCAATTAAGAGAGGTCAATACGCTTGCATATACCGTGATATGTATCAGAGACTACACATGACAAGACACATAAATTATAATAAACGTTATTATTCAACATCTAAAAACTCTATTGATAAACCTATTTTAATAGATAAAGAATATCAAAAATGATTAGTAGGTATAACTGAAAGTAATGGTACCTTTAATATTAATATTGATTCAATTAAAAATAAAGTAATTTTTACTTATAAAATTAATCAATTAAAATATAATAAAAGATTATTATATAACATTAAAACTAAGTTAGGTGTTGGTAATATTATTAATACTAAAATAATTAAAAATAAAGAAGTTAATATAACTTCATACATTATCACAACAAGGGAAGACTTACGTGATATTATTTTACCTATCTTTGATAATAATATTATGATAACACATAAAGAATTTATATATAATTTATTTAAAGAATGTTTATTAATCATAATAAATGATATAGAAGATGAAGCTTTAAAAGTTAGTAAAGTAAGACAAATCTATAAGACTAAACTTCCTATTAACTATCAAGCTAAAGTATGAGGTAATATTAATTATAAAACAGTTAAGATTAATAATTTTAAAGATATTATATCTAAAGAATGATTAGCTGGGTTTATTGAAATTAATGGATTATTTAATTATTTAAATAAGGATAATAAAATAGTTCATGTTTTTAGTATAATTAATAAATATGATCCTATTGTTATACAATGTATTAAATATAATTTAAATATTATAACTAATTTAAAATATAATGTTAAACATAATTATTATATTTTAGAAAGTACTCGTGCTAATACAATTGAATTTATTATAGAATATTTTAGTAGAAATGATTATAGTAATATTTTTAAAGGTATTAAAAGCTTTGAATTTACAGTATGATGTAGAGCTTATAGAAAATATAAATATAATTATGCTAAATTACATAAAATTAGTGTATGAATTAATACATTAAAAAATAAACATAAAAATATAAAAAAAATATAACGTTAATTATAATTTAACATACGGTTAGTTAACACGTGTCTAAGGTATAGTCCGAACAACTACGTAAGTAGTTGATATAAGATAAATTATATATAAATATATATATAATGTAATTATTAACAATAAATAGAT